AGAAGAAGAAGAAGAAGAAGAAGAAGAAGAAGAAGAAGAAGAAGAAGAAGAAGAAGAAGAAGAAGAAGAAGAAGAAGACGCCAGCTGGATGCGCATGCGCAAAGTAACCAGGAAGTCAGGTTTATCTGTTGTTGACAAACTGGATGTTTCGGATAAAATGGCAGTAACTGGTGAGTAAACTGTGACTCCTGTAGTTTTTGGCAGCAGCTTCAGAAGATATGTTGGAGCAGTAAATCATATTTGTTGCTTCTGTGTGTTATTTGTGTTAGAATTACACAAACCGGTGTAGAACAATGACTGTTCCGTGTGTGCCTGTTGTGTTGTTACAGTTAAAGTCGTGTTATTCCCATATTAATAAAAACTCAGGTCTTAACATGTTTTTCTGTCGTTGAACGGAAGTAAAGSAGTTCATGGTGGAGTGGACAGTTAAAAACACCTTCCTGCCTTCATGTGACACAGACTGGTCCATGTGTAGTGACAGGAACATGAGACATGATTTTAAATTATTTCTTACAAACAAAAACAATCTGAATAGTTTATGTATTTATATACAGTTGGCTTTTCTTTTAAAGTCACCTTAAATACATGTGTGTCAGCTCAGAGTACAACTGTACTGACTCATATATGAGTGCAGATATWTTTGTGATAAATGCTTTTAAAGGCTGTAAAAACTTAGGCCAGAGGTTCACCATGTTAAAGACAACAACACAAAAATGACCCAGAGCTACAAATAAATGACAGATTGGAGCAGATTCATGTGTCAGACTGAAGACTGGACTTTAACTGGTTCATTCTGCAGTTTTACTACSAAGAAATGAAGCAAATAATTAGGTCTGTAGGTGTAAAACTGTTAAAAACAAGCCCAAAGTGATGCAGCTGTAATTACAACACAAGGTGATTCTTYAAAGTATTAAATCAGGACGGTTGAGCAATAATGTTTAACTTTGTCTGTTTAAAAAGAAACAAGTACAACACATTGAAAACTAGTTGTGAAGTACACAAAAATAATAATAATTATGCAGCACCGTAAGTATATCTTGATCGTAATTCTCTTTCTAGGTTCAACACACACTATGTATGGAACAATACAGATATTTAAAATTTATTTTATCAACTTGTCTTCTGAAGATGCTCTGTGTTGAAGGATCAGTGGATCTGTGTTCGACTACTCCACCTAGGCTGTATTTTTGAGCTCAGATCCACTGAGAAACTTACTGTTTCAGCAACATTTATTTTATAAACTGTATTTTTGAGGTTAAACAAATGTTCATAATTAATTTAAATAAATTACAAGTTAAAAGGGACATGGACATTTCTCTTTTGTATCGAGAAAATATCGAACCGTGAGACTAAAGTATCAAACTGAACTGTGAATTTTCTGTATCGTTGCAGCCC